ACTTATTACAATACCTACGCCGTTTGAATATAGAGTATAATATATATGACAATGGACACGCCATGGTTTTTTTTCACGCGTGAAATGATAATAAATTAGAATTTTGCATTTAGAGCACTTTGTATTGATATGTTAATCGACATTTTAAATAACACGATATTTATCAGGTTTATAAAATTACGTAAAAAAAGAATCCCAGTAGTTTAATTTACCAATCCAAACCACATCAGATCTATGATATTCAATGGATAACAAATTAGACAAGATCATTACGAAGATTTTTTTTAAATAATATTAATAGCAGTTGTTGCCAATAGATGGTTTGATTGAGAACTTCATTGATAACTGAGAGATTTGACAAAAAAACTCAGCAAATTAAAATTTGATACCACTTTATCTATCTATCACAAATTTGATGTTGGGTGGTTTTGTCTAAAAGTTTTTTCTGGGCGTGGAAAAATTAAAATGTCATCTCTCCACTTCTACCTAACCAGTTAATTGAAAAAACTAAAAGTGTTTTGCTCGTGAGAATTAATATGTATTTTAAACAGATGTGTCACACAAAGTTTGATAGTCGATCAAAGTGTTGAATGAAAAAGTTGAAATGTTTTAGGCACGACCCTCATTTAATATCAGTTTTACTAAAAACTACATAAAAAGCAACGTGTTAAATATACATAGTATAAGTATATATATATATATATATATATATGTGTGTGTATATATATATAGATATAAATGTACTAGCTGACCCGGCAAACGTTGTTTTGCTAAGTAAGGTATTTTCTAAACAATTATATATATTTAAACCTCAAAATGCTAGGAACATTCTTGAAATTGTTCTAATCTTGAACAAGTATTCTGACTAAACATTCAAATTTTTAAAACAAGTTATTCCCATTATTCTATAACTTCTTTAGTCTGATAATATATACAGTATTTTTTCAAAATGTTTCTTCATAAAGTCATCTCTCAATGTCTTTACTCTTTTGTTGCACCAAACACGTTTCTTCTACCCATTTTCACAATATTTCTTTTTAATGCTTCTTGTCATCAGCAATTCATTATTTGATGTATACGCTATTTTCTTTATTATTATTATTATTATTATAACACATGTTATTATATCTCTGATACAATGAAATACGGTATGAGATTTTCTGATCTTGGATTATAGAAAGTCATAGTCGCATATTCATTCGACATGTACCAATTGTGTTCTGGAACAATATGAGGTAGTAAAAATCATATTGTTATAAATAATTAGTTGTAGAAAATAATTATTGATATTATGTATAGATTTTACTGTTCAATGTTATTAATTAAATACCAATACCAAGAATTGTATTAATTGAGAATTAGATTCATAACAGAGACGTATCATGCAATTAATCGAGAATTTATATTTGCTTAATGACATATCTCAGGTAAAAATATACTCTTCTGCTGATAGTTTTTTCTAAATAGTCCTATTCTTGATTTCTTGGATTCTTAAAGAAATATAAGAATGTGACTCTTGAAACCAAATTGCAACAGTATGCAACTTTTCGTATTAAAAATAAGTTCATTATTTCATTATTTAAAAACTCTGTATAATAAATTGCATTCCAATTTACATGTACTCGTACACTACGTCAATCAACAATATTATTACAATAACGGGTGTTATTACATCAATCGTTTGAGAATTTCTAAATAATAATACTGATACCATAATTTAAGTATAAATACCTGTAATTTATACTGTGTAGTTACAATTCATTAATTTAACACTTTATAATCATTAACTATTTCCTACACAATATTAATTCTATATGTAGCTAATATGTAACAATTGCAACGTATGTTTATGCAACTGTTACGTGAATGTAATGTATATATTCTTCATACATGTAATTGCAATGCATAAGTACGTAAGTATACGTAACATATATGTAACAATTATTCCTAATGGACGAACAACATAATTTTTTTAGGTATAAATTGCATAAAATTAGATTATTTGAATATAAATCTTATCTCTATTTATGAAAAGTGCATTTATGAGATACGTTTTACTTCGAGGACAAATAATTTGAAGAACTATAGTTATTACAAATTTAATTTCAGCTCTTTCAAAGTTTGCGAATTGTTATATAATTATTGTGGGAATTTGCTTAGGTATTACATTAATACATGTACAATATTTGAAGTCCAATTACTTTAGATAAAATATAATTTTGTATAATAATATTTACGCATAATTCAATGATATAAATATCACGAATTTCAGATTTAGTTTCAGCTATTCTATATTTTGGAATTATTTGATAACTATGTAGAGTATTTGCTATAGATATTAAAATAATATATGAATATAATTTAGGTTAGAGTTACTGTTAATATAATAAAATTGCAATATTTCAAAGTACGGTTTATACAATACTTCGATCAACAATATCATTACAACTAATAGTTGTTATTACACCAATCCAATCGTTCGAAAAATTCCAACTAATAAACCACAGGTATCCCATAATTCAAGTTCAAATACTATAATTCATCCTTTAATGTTACGTTTCAACAATTTAACACTTCATAATCATTAACACTTATCATTTCTCCACAATATTAATTCAATATGTACTTAAAGCCTGTTATTCGATTATGGCCAGAGACTTAGTCAATTATAAATTGATGGTGTATATATGATTCATTACAACTTGTCAAACAACCGCTTATGTCAAGCCATGAATCATTTTATTAAAAATCTTAAGGCATGTGTTATAATGTATATGTTCAGCAGGTTTCGCTTAAAAATATTGATATTAAGTGATACTTTATTTCCCAGGGTAAATGTAGATAGTTGAGTATAATAACAGTGTAATAAATTTACATATTGCTCGGATGTAATTTACGATCTTCTCGCCAACGTTAACTTGATAACTCATGGGTAATACGGTATTGCAGGTTTTTTGTTACCTGCGTAGTAAAATACTCAGGATTCCGCAAATCAAGAGATTTTTATGTATCTTGAAAATAGCTACCAAATATAATTGAATTATATGTTGCATATCTAAAAACTTAGGACTTACCACAACTGGTCCATTTACTCCAACACTGCTCAAAGTTGCTCCAAACCATTGATCAGACTTTTGGTCCATCTGTTCGCCTCGTGACGTATTTTTGTTTCCTAAAAATTAAAATAATTTTATTAATTTTGGAGTTTAATTATTCTAATATAGGGCAGTAAACAGAATTGTGCAGGTGCGTCATTTTTGGCACGTAATATAAAACTGAACCATCATTAAATTTTGTTTTTTTTTTCAATTTTTAATAAAATCAATGTTTTAGCTTACACAAGCCGAATAAATTAAAATATATTCAAAAAATCTTTATTTAAAATGATATCATTATTTTTAAAGAATTTTAGAACTTTAATACATTTAGTGATGATGAGCCAGGACTTTTTAATAAATTTTTGAATAATTCATGTTTTTTAATAATGTTATGTGGGATTATAAGGCTCTGTCACTAAATTTATATATATATATATATATATATATATATATAATTAAATCCTTTTTACATGTATATTATTACTATTATTACTTCATATTTCAATTGACTTTAATGCTTATTAATCAGGATGCAGAAACACAATATCACAACTGAAAATTGATATCGTATTATTTATGAAATATGATATCAGCTATTATTTAAAAATTGCTTAGAATTTCATACTTGTATTAATACACATGTATCAGTAATTCTGTCTATTTAATACCAGAATATTTCAAGTTATATAATAGAAAAAAAAATTGTTGTGTAATAGAAAGAAAATTAATATTGTTTCAATCAATAGAATTTGATACAAAAATCATAATAATCCATTTTTATCTGTAATTTCCAGAAATACTATGACACTCTCAAAAAGCGCAAAGAACATTTCCAAGCCTTTCAATAGTCAGCAAATTGGTTCTCTACAAGCTCAACCATATTGCGCCCACAAATCGAATTTCGACTTCATTTCAATCGGAAAAAATTATAAGATTTTAAGTATCCTGTAGATTTTTTTTAATTTTTGTTTTTTTTTAAATTTATTTCAATATTTTGCCATTTGACCCTCAATTTAACATTATATTCGTGATTAGCTGTAAAAACTACATTGGAAAACGTATGCCGCACATCCAATACAGAAAACTTTTATTATTGTGGATAACTGCGTAAAAATTCTAAGCTCTCTGTTGAAAATAAGTTGCTGCTATATAAATCAATCATTAAACCAATCTGGACCTACGGAATTGAGCTCTGGGGATGTGCTTACAAATCAAATATAGCTATAATGCAGACTCAGTCAAAAATTTTACGTACAATTCTTAATTCTCCGTGGTCCGTGACAAATGAAACCATTCACAGCGACCTCAACATGAAAACGGTGCAATTAACAAGAATTTAAGGAAAAATACAAACGCAAACTGGACTCACATTCGAACCCATCAATAGTTGACATTACTCAACCTTTTGGCATAAGGAGATTGATACGACACTGGCCTTTAGACTCACATTACGTCTTAGATTAGGTCTACGTTAGTCTTACATTAGGTCTAATATATTATCATATTAATTGACAAACTGAGAAGATCTCATTGGAGTTCTTCTAAGGCATCGCTCGTAAATATTGTCAATTTAGCTCATAGGAATCTTTCTATATTTCTGATTGCTAAATAAAACAGAGTTAAAAAAAATTGTGGATAATTAATTACTGTAGTAGAAGTTTTAGCAATAAACCTCATAGCACATTACCATGCACCACTAATTTACACCCTATTCATATGCAATCAAAACAATAGTACTCCAACACAAATCAAATTTCAATCAATCAATCAATTCCCATTGACCGCGTTATTCCATTGAATTCGGAGACGAGACCTGACCATCCGTCGTCTCTCGTCTCTTGTCTTAATATGGTCAAAGAAAACGAACACTTGCACGCGGATCGTGGCGCCTATGTAATGTTGACTCGCAGTCCTCGTAGTATCGCAACTCGGTCGGCGGCCCGCGCACACGTTGCGTCACCTTCGCAGGTGATTCAGTGCACGTTCTGAGGCGAAACGCCATATGGACCGCTGGACGGCGAGCGTGGGATAACTGTCGCAAGGAAATTGGGAAATGGATGAAATATGGTTTTTTAATTAAGAAAAATCGGGAAAATGTCATCTTTGACACTTACAATATAAAGGATTCAGTTAGGGGCTTGATGGAATTTTTATAGTCATTTCGTTGGATAATGGATACTTTGCAATGTAGCCTAATTCTTAAATTCTTTATTATTAAGTCTTCATGGAAGACAGGTTACGGTAGTGACTGTAGTCATAAACATCTATAATTAATTAATATTGAGATAGGGTTCAATGGAATGAAGGTGAAGTATGTTTGTTAGAACAAGTTTCCGTTATTGCATTGAGTTAGCGCCCTACATTAACACGATCTGTAGACCGCATTGATTTTTGATAGACTTTAAAGAGACAAATTTAATGGCTTTTTTTATAAGAAGAAAATAGATAGGATTAGAAGTGATATAACTGTCGTAAGGAAAGTAGAAAATGATAAAATATGGCTCCTTATTAAAGAAAAATCAGGAAAATGCGACGTTAGTTAAATAAAATGTAGAGTATTCTATGAGTAGATTGATGAAATTTTTATTGACGTCATGTTTCCTAGGATAACAGATACTTAAAATAGTAGCCCCTACAATTTTCATAATTGTAGACCGGGTACGGTTGTGAAGATTTATCAATATCACATATTTGTGATTGTGGCTTCTACTCTATCATTGTGCTATATATGGTTATGCTATATATGGTTTGCCTTGCAAAAAAAAATACTTGACTACGTATAAAACAAAATTGAAGCAAATATGTAAATATTTATTATAAAATATTAATATAAGTCAGCCAAAAAGAGTTTCCAAAAAAATGTAAAACTTTTCTCACACTATAGTGATAATTCTACTCTTTTATTGTGTGTTTATTTTTATCTTTAAAAAACATATAAATTGTTTAACAAAAGAAATTCATGCATACTAAATTAGTGTAAATTAAAATTAAAATTAATAGGAAATATTAATTTTTTTTCTATTCATTATATTCAATATGTAATCTGCCTACGAAGGTTTTTAAGAAAATATAGAACTATCTTACACGATCACAGTATTATGATGTTTTTCTTCTATTATTATGCAATATATGCGTATTTCATTAAAATCATTCCATCATCAATTATCCTAATACATTAAAATGTTTATAACCTTGAAAACAATTAATTTTAAAATTTAATCATCAGAAAGATGCAATTTCATGGTCAATAGATTTCTGTTTGTATTAGCTCAGCTTGTCAAGTGCATAGTATAATAATTTATCATATTAAGAAACAATAGAATACTTTATAAATGATTTAAATTATTTGTATATATATATATATATATATATTGTTTTTGTTATCAATTAAAAATTATATGAATATTTTTTTTAAATTTATTAGAAATCCATACGTTTAGGCTGAAATATCTCATAAAATATAGCAAAATAACATATTAATGAATATTTATAATTTCATATATAAAATTGCTTCGTCGAAAGTATTTACAAGTTTCTGGTGTGTTTTGCACATTAGGAATTCAAATTTAGCTACAAATATACATTTAAAATAATTAAAAATGATAATATTCAAGAAGACAAAATACTTGTTAGACAAAAAATACTGTTACCATGTCATGTTAACCAATTCATCATTCATATCTATTATTAGCTTGACTCGATTATTATTAGCTATGTACAAACGGTATGTGTGTCAATACTATCAATACTAGTTTTTTTTAATTTTTGCCGAACAAACTGATAAATTTTCTGATCAAAGATTCTATGACATATTTTTTTTGTTATTACAAAAAAACATTGATAGCATAACCAACTTGTGGCTGACCTTGGCTTACAAACTGGATTTATATAATACTGACTGAGATATTTCTATCTTCATATTCGCCTTCCTTATAATAATCATATGTTAGAATATTTTACCTATACATATATATATAAATATATATGTATATATATATATATATATATATATATATTATTTCAGGCTGGTTTTGTAAATTTTCGTAGTTCAATGTGGCAAAATTTTATGCATTGTCACACGTTACTGTTGGCTAGTTAAATCGCAATTTTTGAGATAAACAAATATATTCTCAAATTTTAAGATGTTTACAATATTTTGAGGCTATGTTCTAATAAACCAAACAAATAGAACATGAGAAGATCCCACGAGTCCTGATTGAAAATCATTTCCAGTTCGTTTAGTAAAATTATTTCTGTTGTATGATTTTTTTAGGTGCACTTTTTGTTTAATATGTAAGTATTTTTTAATTCCAATATTTTATACAATATTTAGCCAGATCTATACATTTTCTGGTATACATGTGACGAATATACACGTCATGGTTCGATTTGATGACCATAGTATACTGGTTATTAATAATTTTATAAAAACACTTCGACTAATTTCCGTAGTTTACTAGCGAATCCAATACCCAACAATTTTGTTTTATATTTGCAAATCATTCATCCGAATACTTAAAAAAAATATTTTAAAATTCAATATAGACTTTATTCTGAGAATTATTTGCACAACGATGTTCATATAACTCGACAAAGAAAGTTTTGTTTATACTTCGATATAAACAATGTATTTATATTATGACTAATCTGGATAAAAAGAGTTTACTTATATAGAGTTGAGATAGAGCAGATCTGTTCTGTGTGAGTTTTCTCAGTAATCAAAGATTTAAAAAAACAAATTTGAATACTGATGATGCTGGTTGAATACAAATAAATTTGGATTTAATATATAAAATTGATTTTTTAGTATAGCGAAGGTAATTCGTTCACGCATATCAGACTAGGTCTTTTGTCTGGGTATGTCAGGCTTACTAATCAAAATGAATTTTGATCATTTTCATCGATTCATGAATATCATTGTCATAACTCCATATAATTCCATTATTAAGTCGATTTATCAAGTTTATGAGTTCCTCTTTCTACAGTATTTATAGCCTTTTGTCCATCTATTATTTATTGTAATTGAATTTAATTGGCGCGTTTTCAACAGACAATACAAAGGTTTGTTTGAACTTATCGATATCTTAGATGGTTTTCTTATTTTACAGATCGAACGATGCGCTTCTTTACAATTATAATTATCGATAATATACCATCATGCCAATGTTCTCCAGTCAATAGTAAGCACTTTGTCTTGTTCTATCTTGAAAAATAAATATAATTTCCCACAGCCTTACACGATGTTTGAAACATTAAAATAGGTGTGTAAAAACAATATTTACTTTTGATTATCTAGTGCAAAATGGTGTATCAACAAACATTTTAGAGAAGTGATTTTGTGGATGTAGTGCAAGTCACTATTCATGAAATGTTATTTGGAGAGACCTTATTGACCGTTTGAAATAGTTTATAAATTGGGGTATGTTGCAATTAATTATATTAAAATTGGATTGCTTCTGAAAATTTCCATGTAATTAGGTAGTATCATCACAAAAGCTCATAAAACCTTTAAATTACGATTGCTGTTCAAAAAAGCAAAAATGAAAAAAAGTTATCCTCGATACCCAGAATTTCGTTGCGTCCATAATGTGCATGTTGATTTTGTTAATGGTTTGCAAGGTATAAAACATTCGAAAATATATATGTCGGATATAAATAAAATTCAGGTCAGACTAAATATATGCTTCCATTTTATGACAACACAATTTAAACGCTCTAAATATCCGGTCGACTGCAGAAACATATTCATGGACTACTTGGTTGAAAATATTGAAATTAAATTAAATATAAATGTTAAATTGTATAAAACAGATGCGCAAATGATGAATCACTTATATATTTATATATATATATACATATATTGTTTTTATGAAAGTATTTATTTCAAAAAAATCGGTAGCTACACATTACAGAAATATTTAGTCTGAATTGAGATGTCTACATTTCCTTTGTATAAGAATTCAACAATTAAGAAAGAAAATGCAAAATACTTACTATTCTTATTTTATATTGTATAAAATCAAATTCTATATCGTATTAATAGTAATTTTATTGTGAATTTTTTGCTTGAACAATTTGCTTGAAAACTGTTTATCATAAACTCTCTTTTCTATAATAAATACATTCTATTACTACTTTAATTTAATTAAAATGCTATCTCTGGAATTACTGTTCAAGTCCATAATGAAGAAGTGAATTTTAAAAATATAGTGTCGGTGTATATAATTATACGAAAAGGCTATAATTAGAAGCGACGACTAATCATTAGCTTCATTTATCTTATCAGTTCGTTTAAGCAAATTATATTTACCGTTGGAATTATATGTAGAATTTTATTTTGTGTGGGTAACACCTTCGCAGTATTAATAGAAAGATATTTAAGAAAATATTTATTAGAATATTTATATTTAAGATATAAAATAATTAGTTTATCAAGGTTTGAACACTTCTCGCCGTAGTATGGAAAGTTGCATTTTGATTATTAAATCATATTTTCATTGTTTGTTTAAACTGTACAAGTTGTACATTATTTTTGGTAATACAATTTAGTTTAGTCATCTATTTATTTATTTTTCTACTATTTCACGAATAATTGCATGACCCTTCCTAGTAGTATCATGAGAACGCACGCGTTCCCAAGGAATGCCATTCTGTATCACATTAGTATTGCAGAATTCAAAAGAGAGGCGATCGTCTTCCGATATCTCGACATAGAGATGCATACAAATAATTTATATTTGTTGTTTTGCCACAGAAAAGTAAATAACTTGTAGTCATAGAGCAGAACTTCAATACCAGCGATAATATCATGCAATGTAGATATTGTTATTTGGAATAAATTATAGGTATACGAGGTATGCAGTTTTAGAAATGTTTAAGTTGCAAGTATTATGGACAAATGGTAGTTGGAAATGTGAGATGTTATGTTTGTGATACTGTAGTATATTATCTTTGACCTGGGTGTTTGCCAAGCAACACCTTTGCAGTAAACTCTTGTGAAGATATGGGAATCTAACGTATTTTAGATAATAAGAAACGAAAGATGTTTTACCGAGAGGATAAAATAAATAAAAGGGTATCATTGATAATAGTGTCCTATGCAATCTTGATTAATTTCTACAAAATTTTAGTTTTTCAGGGTTCTGTATAATTTTGAAGCCGGTTTCTGAATAGACCATGATTAATTTCAGTTGTCAGAAATTACGTAAATTTAAATGTTCTAAATATAGAGTGTGCTGATGCTGTTGTTTTTAAAATCAAGTCCAGTAATTTACCGAGAATGAGATTTTATATAAACTCCTGCCCACTACAAAGTAAAACATGTTGATAAAACCACATATAAAAGTATCTTTATTCTTTACAATGATATGTAAAACAGCACGACAATTTTAAACCGCGAGCAACATTTAATATCACTCTTATAAATCATAACCCAAATTACATGCACGAATGCCGACCCACGTGAGATCTTCGTCAGCTTAATTTTTAATAAATCTATAAAGGTGGGAGTACCACATTCAACAATGTCTATAAATTATTCGAAGTCTACATACGACGCCTTATGAAACTGCACTCTATCGATAGTAGAAATGCCAACGGGTCAACAAAAGATCAACTCATCCTATATCCTATCATAAAATATTCTTAGGTTTATCTATTTTAAATCATACTATAAGGTGGAGGTGATCTTATGGATTATTTAGATCTGGGACGAAATGATACGTAAACCAGCTGGAAGGAATAGTGACACAAAACAGGTTAATTAACACTCTACAACGACTATAAAAAATTATAATATTAACAATATAATATATTTAATACAATATCAGATCAAATCACATACCATTTAACTTTAAGAATAAACAACTTCAGATATTCAGTTTCATTAATTTTTTTTTATTTGGAATGTTATTTCAACACCAATCAGAACTTCGGGGTTCTATAAGCTTTTGTAATGATTTCACTTGAGAACGTCACTGTTTCAAAAGACAATCCAATGGTTGGCTAGCTCTATTTAATGAATTTTTCACATAGACATTACATTACATGGACTGATAGTCCTCATATGTTTTTCGTTGTACATAGTGTCCCAACATAGAAGGGACTGTGACGCCACTTGATGAGCGAACATTGCCGACAATCGCGGAACCCTGTAACTTCTGATTGAAATCCTATAGCCATTGGGAATCCCATTTGCAATTTAAAACCATTTTTATTTCCCACGTGAGAATATAGATCCACAAACTATTTCCATAACATCTGACAATGGTTGTTTTGTGTCACTATCGTTGCCATAACATTGCAAACATATTAATTCCTCAAGGTTCGTGTCTTTTGAGTAATTATTGTGTTTTGCATGAATCGAAGGTTAGTTGCACAGTAAAATGCAATGAAACAGCTTTCTACCAAACACCTACACTCGGATTTCTTACGATAGTTTTGTATCCCGTAGTTTGAACTCGCAACATTCATTCATTCATCGAAATGAACAATTTCTTAATCGAAATCTCCGTATTGAGAAGGAGAATATAAATACACGTGTCTTGAGTGCAGTTATGTTTTCATGAAATTTATTGCGAGGCCATACAAGGCGAAGGAAAAGAATATTAATTAACGTACTCTATATTTATCCATCCATGTGCTAAATTTAAAACCACTTTATCAATAATAGATTTGTTTGTTTCATAGGGTTACGAGTTGATCATCACATTGATATTCATTATCAAGAATATTTGTTGATTCCAACACATTCTCTAGCAAATCAACTAAATTGAGGGTAGGAAAAACAATAAACATGGATGTGGATAATATGTAAAATCTATCACATTTGATTCAAAGATCCAAGATTTGAACTGGCATTTGACACATTACTTTTTTGCAATAATAAATTTATTTCTATAACTTACCATATCGGTCGAATGGTACAATTTGGCATTGATTATCGATTCGAACATCGCAACTGTAGACAGCGCCTCCTCTTATCACTCCAGGTTGATGAGCATCCGCCTGCGGAGCTCCCACCAAAGCCCTGGAAAACAAAATAATTGTATAAATAATATAACAATACCGAAAGAACATTTGAAATTTTCTAATTACAATGCAAAACTGTTGGTGAAAGCTGATTTTAGCCAGAAAACCACCGTGAGGTGTTGGCCCACAAATTAGGAAGTTTAGGAAGGCAATTAAAAAATCGACTCAAGGCAACTTTAAAAGCTTTGGCTTTAGGTGCTAGATATCGTTGACAAATCATAAACAATATATGAGCAAACCATTTATTATTTTTTACAACTACACAAAAACCTGTTAAAGGTCACCACTAAACCTTTCTACTTCCTTATCTCCAAAAGCTTTTGACTATAAATGTTGACTCGATTTTCCCAGCTGACAGTTATTAAATATGGGTCAACGTGCTGACATTATTTATTATATTTCTGATCATACAGCACAAACGTCTGAATCTGTTACGGTTCGAAGAGTTCACCATTAGGCGCTCCTATCTTTTGTCAGGCTTCGTTCGGCACAGAAATAGAGGTGCGTTGACTTCCCGTCACTTTTTAACGATGAAAAATCATCGGCAATCGCCAAAGACCACGGTGATAATAGATAAGGTATCTTATTGCAAATATATAATAAAATGTAAAATACTGGTTTTATAGTTGTTGGTCACTCTTGACTCGTTCGTTATATGATCATCATATATCATTATAGACATATAGGTGTTAGTTGCATTTTTATCTAATAAATGCTCATAATAGCTACATTTTGATGAAGTTCATAATTATAAGAACAACTTAATTTAGCCAGATTATGCTTAGTCACACCAAGTTCGTATTTACCTTCCCCAGCATAAAAATAATTATATGAAATGCTTTCTACGCATGCTGTAATTTTTTCTTTCTACTTCCTTACAGTATACTATCATGATATTTTGATTCTTTTTTATCATAATTAACTAAAAATTTGTTAAATTACGTAATTTTAGACAGTTGACACAGATTTGTATTAATTTTAATTTGTGTAGATGATGACACTCTTTTATTTCTGATGATAAAGATGTGTTTAATATACATTATATGAAGTGCTTTGACAACATCTGTCAAAGGTTTTATGAGGACATATTGATTCGAATAGTGATTGCTTTTTATATCAATTTTCTTCAGAATGACATTTCTTATAAGTTGGCTTATAAATAGACTTCATCATATACTTAATATCGATCGAAATTCGCAGACAATTTGGCGCCGTCACGATAAAGTGCTTTTTTGCGAAACACGCTATATGAGTTCAATACTACTTTTTATTATATCAATACTGATGAGTAATCGATTAGTGGAAAGTGTAATTCAATTCGGCTTTGCTTTGCATTTAGTTATTACCTAATAAATAATTAAAATGTACAAAATGGCAAAAGAGAGCCATTCTTTATAAAATATTTTTTTACTTGGAAACATGTTTTCCTAGCCAAAGACAATTATGTTACTTATTAATTTATTTCAAAAACTACTGATATTTTTTTTTATAATGGTACTAATAAAGTTAGTACCAGTCGACTAGTCTGTATACCATGATGAAATTGGAAACAATCTACGTTTTAGGAATATAACGGTTTGCCTATCCACTTCATGTATGTTATCATTGTTTTATCAATACCTAAAAAACGTTCCTATAAATTAAAACCACTTTCTACGGGCAACTTTCCCAACATATGTTCGAATATATACAATTTTGTACCAAGTGGGTGTGAATTGTCGTCATATTGTGCTCGCCCGCACAAATCTTAACGTAATGAGCGTGGTCGGACTGGAATGTTTACAGTCTCTTTGGAAAATTAATATAAAATAATAACACCAGAAGTTATAAAATGTATTTGCAATTAACCACATAATCTAACTATAAAATTAAAAAAATACCAAGGCATACGGGACTCCTGCTAGACGCGGTCTTTCTCTCCAAACTTTGATTACTTATTATAGGCCTATAATATTTTGAACTCTTCAATTTGACTATCAATTCTATCACCATGCAAAGTTTCATCAAATTCCAAGAAGCGTAAACCCGAGGTTCTCCTTGCCAGCCGATCTAATCCTTACTGTACAGTTTCTGATCCAATATAATGTCGTTGTTTATGGTTTCATCAATGCAGAATCTCGAGTCGACACACAATGTGCAAAAAGCGGCCCCAGGTAATCCAGTTGTGCGGAAATTAGCTGTATTCCTAACCTGCAATTGCTCGTTATGCAAACCACTATATGCCCATGTAGGAACGCCTACATTTATCTCGAACATAATATATAGAGCTGTTGTAATAGTAAAAATCTGTGATTTATACTGGATTTCATTAATGCTATAACGCATTATCGGCTTTGGTAGCGATTTTGATAGTTAGATATATGATTAGTGGACCTACGTTTCCTGGACAGGATGGTGAAAAAATGGAGGACATGGTGCATGGAGATTGTGACAACATGATATATGGATGTAAACCAGGAATTTGTTTTAGAAGGATACGCGATTTTAAAATGTGTGAATAAAGTTTGATGGATGAATGATTTGCCAGAAATTAGCAGGTGTTCTGAAAGCTGTTCAGAACAAGGTGTTCTGCTAACTGTTAGAAATGATGCACTTTGCTAGCAATGTGATTTTTATTGAAAATCAGAAGTAAATCCAACCATTGTTCTTACAAACTGAGATTTATGTTTTATTTAAATCTGATCGCTATTACAAGACAACCCAACGATCGACCAACTATAATTTAAAAAAAATTGTTTTAGCGTTTTCTATTTCTATTATTCTTCTTTCAATTATATCATCATGAATTTCTAAAACCTGATTACATTTATCGGTTCGATCACAAAACGATAATTTGCTTAACACCCAGACTATGAATTATTATTTAATTCTAATCGCCATATCTTTACAATACGCACCTCGAGCATATATGAGGAACCCGTTATTGCAATTCTAGCAAAAAAAATGAATTTAACAGTTGGCATAATTGTATCGGCGATATATGTGTAATATCATTCGAGTAAAACAGAGATTCTCAAATATTTCAGAAATATAGCTAAAACTAATTAGATCTAGTCAGTTTTACAGGCACAAATTTAACCAAAAAGTGAATTAAGGAACTACAAAAATTCAAGGTAGATATTTAGATATGTAGTATTGCTTGATTGAAAACAAATCAACTCTAACAAAACAAGGAGTTTCAAATATTTTGTCTAAAGAATTAAAAAAAATATATAATTAGTCGTTTTATTCATACGAATTCGTTTTGTTAAAAAAATTATTAAAGAAATAGAGAAAATACAGCGACATTTATTAGGAAGTATAGCTTCATAGGAAAATAATTGATTGAACAAACTAGGAAATCTCAAATTTTTTGAAAATAAATAATTTACATATAAATTTGCAAGGTATCCCAGAACATAACGTCAACCCGAAACAAGATGACAATATTGATTGTTACTATCAGGAAAAATAGTTGTCCTGCAGTTTGAAAATTATGAGCTTTTAAGTATTACAAAGAGCGAAACTTTGTGATGAAACTGTGACTATTTTGTATCTTATTTCTTATGTTTGAGAACCTCTGTTTCAATAGTATAAAATCAACTTGCTTATCTTAATTTACGGTAGGCCGCCTGTAACACTAACCGTAATGTTGAGACATAAAAATTAATAGAGCTTTTACCGTTGCCCATAGAATATAATAATAGCTTAAAGCGATGTGCAAATCGAATCCTGACATTTGCTGATTTCTGTAAATAATGTATATATTTTAATTATAAATCCCATTAATTTCATACGCATTCGATATAAACAAATACACGAGGTAGAAAATAGTAGTTATTTTTATAAAGCTGTTATATATAAACACCTTGAATTTTTTGGGAGCATCATTGGAGTATTTTTTCCTAGATATCCATATTGGTAACAAATTTCAATTTATTTTATTGAATGCCAAAAGGACTGAAAACTAAGTTAAAAAATTTATATTTCAATGTAAAGTTTTTTTTAAATTTGAATATAACAGCTATCAGTGTGAGGTAATTTCAGAGATGGCTCTGCTAGCCAGTAAAAGTAAGCTATGAAGTTTGTTGATGAGTATTTTGTTTGAAGAATGGCGGATTAGTGTTGAAGAGAAAATATTAAAAAGACAGTTATATTATAGAATTTGAGAAAATTCAATTAACAATGAGATCTTATCTGGTTTAAGATTTTGTATTAATAATTCTAAAAAAGAAATAATTGTTTTTATAATAACTACAACAAAATCACAATTAGATTTTTTTGTCTTTAATTCAAAATAAGTTTATTAAGTAGCTTTACATAAATTGCATATTCAGCCAAAAAAAGTTTTATTTTTAAAAATCTTAAATTCAAAATTATCTAATAATTAATGATGTAGTTACGTCAAAAATTTGTGATAAAATTTTATTATTGTTTATTTAACGATAAAGAGCTCACTTTCATAAAATTTATTACATCAAAACACGCGATAACTTGCACACTCTTGGAATCATAAATGGTATGAAAATTTAAATGATTTTTAATTGCGATTGATAATTAGTGCCAACAATTATATAACATCAGCGAAATTACGTGTAATTGAACATTTTTTTGTATTTTCTGTTTACTTTCAATTGTTTTATTTAGGTCAAGACATCGTTGTTTTGTGTGCTCGACTCATTATTTCAAATAGGTGACGATGTTGGGAGGAAAAGATATGAAAACTTATTAGATAAATTAGATCCCATCTTATAAAAATACTAAAATGATTTTATGACGCTATGTACAATTTTGAATTTTACTGAAAATATATACAAAAGTATAGAACTATAGATAGCCATTATTACATTCCTGTTCTATAGATTCTATCTTGTTCCATAGATAGATAGTATTATAAATATATAAATAAATAAAATAATTTTTTGGAAGGGAAAAAATTTTAAACTTCCAACTCGTCATTGATTTGTTCTGAAACTATCCCAATAAATACAAATTTCACAAATCAGAATACAACAATAA